TATTCCCCTTCTTGGCCTTCCTTTTTGTGCTATCCTTGCTCAAATATTTTACTAGTGTTTTCTCCATTTTCCCCCTTAAAAATATTCTGTTTCTCAAGTGCTTAGCGTCTTTTACCACATCCTTTCCCTTCCCACCTCCAGGAGGAGGCTGGAAATGCTGACAGAGCCATAATTACATAATGATGACTACAACTGATGGAAGAAACATCTCATACAAACACACACAGGAGACACAAGGCTGAATGATTATTAACAGAAGTGGCCAATTGAGAAAAGATATCTTACACTGTCCTTCTTAACCACACAGCAAAGTTTGTTAATGAGAAGTTCAATAACATAGGCCAAAATGTTGTTCCATAGCTGTAAATTCCTGTTAAAATGACTCACTTCACTCAAGTTACTATAGCTTTACAACTGTAAGAGTGACTTCCAGCAATATTTCAGACTATGTAAATATTTATGATCACAAAAAAGCACTTCAACTTAATCTACATGAAGTTTGTTTTATTGTTTCAGAAGGATGTGTCCAACAGAAGTTAGATTTTTAAACAGCATTTAAAGATTCAGAGCAAAACATTATATTTCTCATTTTCACAAACTATATTTTCACATACACATAGACCTAATTATTTTTCTACCATCCACTTGTTTTTATTAACACCAACAAGATGCTACTTGAAATTAACCCCACAGCCTGCACTGGTGTAACAGATTACTTTGGGACAAATGACTAAGCTACACAACTCTAATTTTAAGACCACCACCATGCTAGTATGCTGTGAACAGCATGAATCCACAGCAGTCAAAGCACTTCCTAGATTGCACTCAATCTGATTCACTAGTGGAAAGCAAGGATTCCAGTTTTCAGATCCTTCCAACAGAAGCCCTCTGCAGGAAGATGGACGACACATCAAGCAAGCTGTAAAGTACCTCTGCCCTATTCCACTCCCTGTGGCTGCCAGTGGCTTAGGAGGGATCTTAACTGCACTAACTAGTAATAGTCCCAAGGGAACTGCCAATCAATTAGCACCAAACAGTCTAACTGGGGCATCAACAGAGCATATCCCGGTCAGACCTTACACACTCTGCTTTACGCTGAGAGGTCTTGCTAGGATGAAATAATGTTCATGAAGAAATATCAACCATAGAATAATTTAGGTTAGAAGGGACCTTAAAGATTCATCAAATCAAACTGTAAACCTAGCACTGCCAAGTCCACCACTAAACCATGTCCCTAAGCACCACATCCCCTGGCTCCAGGGCCGGGAACTCGACCACTTCCCTAGGCAGCCTGTTCCAGTGCCTGATAGCCCTGTCAGTGAAGAACTTTTTCCTAATGTCCATTCTAAACCTCCCCTAGAGCAACTTGAGGCCATTTCCCCTCATCCTATCGCTTGTTACTTGGGAGAAGAGACCAACCACCACCTGGCTACAGCCTCCTTTCAGGCAGTTGTAGAGAGGGATAAGGTCTCCCTAAGCCTCCTTTTCTCTAGACTAAACAGCCCCCAACAGTAGTACAGCTACAGCAGCCTCTGGGCTCTTTTGTACATGAAAGGCAGGCTAGCATACACTACAAAGAAATGCAGGTAATTTAATGCTGACAGGTTTTGAAAAGTCCAATGGCAAGTTGCTTAGTTTACAGCAGGATATTAAGAACAGCTCACAGCTGGCTCTATAAGTGAACATATGATCCCAGAACCCAATCTACAAGGTGTACAACAGTGCCAAATGGCACTTCACAGAGGTGATTTTGGACTCCTAGAACTTAATAGCTTGGTCTCAATTCTACCCTGGGCTAGGGAGAGCTACCGGCACTCTTTCTGATTCTTCCTAGTGCTGCTGGTTTTAAGGGTACCTATTGATTCTGACAGAGTACTGCATGCATCCAAGCTACTTCCAGACTTGGCTTGGCTCTACATGTTCATGTAGCAACGCCTCAGCTCAAACGAATCCAAATGCAGCCAGTTGTATGGACATTATGATGCCTAAACATTCAAGTTAAGCCTAAAAACTGGACTGGGTGTGAGAACTGTAGTATTATGAAAGGGAGCCTAGCTTTACATTATTTTAAATAATGGAGAATTGACTACTTATGGCAAGAAACAAAACCAGATTGAGTGGTATGAGGTTTGTCTCATACTGCCATCTGCTGAAGAAAGCAAGCTACTTCTCCATGAAACTGTTTTCCTGTTCATGATTCTTCTCACTGCATGTCACAACAATATTACATGCGATTATATTTCCTCAGCTGCAAAGAAATATATAAAACCTTCTACTCTACCATGCTTACAGCCATATAGTGCTGGAAGTGTACAGCATGTACAAATATCAAGCTTCTATTCATGAGATACTAAAATGAACTCATGGGCCTACTGCAGAATCTGGGTGCCTAAATATCAGCCAAGTACAAAGTTTCAGAGTATTGTGAGGGTCTACTAAAGTAAAGCTGATGAGTTGTATCAGCTAGCACAAGCTCTGTGCTTATTACTGCTCTTTTTGCGGAGCCTGTTTACTAATCCAGATAAAGCATAAGATAAGATAGTATAATTAAACAGAAAAATTTAAGCTAACAGTGAAATGACAATCAACCAATGAGGGTCATTAAATATTCTTCAGCACATTCTTCAAAATGTAGTCATTTTGCAACAGACAAGCTGAATAAGCCATTGAAGAGAAAGTTTTACTTCTTACTTACACCCTTCTCTGTCGCACGAATATCTGTATTCCCATAAAGTGTTCCAAGACCAATTACTTTGCCACCGTTTGTCCGTATATCAATTTTATGGCTCTGAAAAAAATTTAAAAATCTTACGGTTAGCATAATCATAATTAGAAAACAAGTTATCTTGTTTTTCAAGCTGTACCACAATAACCACCTTGGATTACAGACTTCCATTTTACTATGAAGGTATCTTCTCAAGTGATTGCCAAATGTGCTGTTAATTTCCAGTGGCGTCAAACTCAAAACAAGTCACCTTTCTTTGTAACCAGAACCACAGGGGAAAGAATGATGCTGAGGAACCCTTTATTCTTGATACAGGTTTCTTCTTTGGTTTTGGTTTGGGTTTTTTTAACTATAAAAAACATTCACTTGGTATATATTAAAATAAGCAGCATACTCCATGCAGAAACCAAGGTATGCATATACCCAGTGCTGCAGCAGATTAGAAACATGAAATGGCAGTGAGAAATTAACCTGTGAACTGGAGCCTTCCAGTGACCTGGCCCCTACACTGTCACAGATGTCTGTAGGATAACCATATGTATATATACACACACCCCCCACAGAGCTGCTTATGTAGAGCCATCAAATTCTATGGATGGATACCAGTGCAAACCTTAGGCCTGACAGTATAACCAGATCCTACAGTGTTTCACTCCAACCAGATTCTAATTCAAATTAGATATTTTGCATATATCTGCATTACAATCTCAAATTCTTCACAAAGAAACCACATTTCAAGTAAAAAATGCTACAGCCCTTATACCTTTCAGCTCTGCTGCATACAAATGACAAGAAAAAAAAACCATACAGAAACACACACAAACTAATCTCAGAAAGACAAAAAAACCCCGAGGTATTGAGAATAAAATCCAGCCATTTGTAAGAAGGGAGAAGTGAAAAAGAAAAAAAATAAAAATCAGAATTAAATAATCTGACTGTATTCATAAACTACAATTGTAACAAATCTGACTTTAAGAAGTCTATGGATCTCAACAGCAAAACTCTTGCTTAAATTCACTAGCGTGAATGTTGGAATAACATAGAATTTAAAAATATTCAGCATTTTTTATACTTAATGCTGAATAAGCTTTCCTTCCCCTTCATTTTCCTATACCACCACCTCCATTTTCAGATATACTCATTTCTGTTGAAAAGGGTATTATTCCTGTAAGTGGTATTTAATTTAGGACATCATCCATTAAATTTGACAATCAAGCATATCAGAAATACCCAAGATACTTAGATTATTAACACTTGTTGAATAAGCCGTAATAAATTACATTTAACTAGGTCTAATCAGATAGCAACTAGAGTAAGGACACTTAAAATATATATATATATGAAATCAAGTTTCCAGTATAGAAAACATGGACTGATACTGCTCTGACACATTCCTGATGAAACACCAAGAACCAGAAGTTTCATGGGGTTTCATAAGATGGGAAGAACTCTAGAGCAGTGTTTCCTAATCTTTGTGTTCTCAAGTCTTGTTTTCTCTTAAGAGGCTTCCCCACAGTAAAATGCAATGCCCCTAACTTGAAACTACAGTAGTGCTTCAGACCTTTTAAAGGTTGTAAATAACTCAGCTGTTCAGTTAAGCTTCTATACAGATATAACAGACACAGTAAACAGGATAAATTAGATGCTTCAGCCAGACATCACAGTTCCTTTGAGGCAGTTACATTAGGCGTATTATCAGAATAATGGTAATCCTCCAATTCCTTCCTCAGAATAATTGGCAAATCCTCCAAGCATGTAACTTGAGGAAAATACTGGAGATCATAAGATTAGAAGAATTAATGTATAGCAATGACTTATCAGTATGGCCACTGATAGTTAAGTAAAATAAAACCACATTTCTTTTTTTTATTCTATCATTTTTGGGATAGAAAAAGCTTTGATAAGACACAGGTCCATCAACTTTTTTCCCCAGAATTATTAGACTATCCCTATCCTCTTAAAAAAACAGGCTTTCAGAGGTAGGTATCAACAGAGACACCTAACAGACAGCAGGATCTGCTGAGAGGGGAGGCAAGTTATAATGGTCAAGTAGCTATTTTGTTAAGAGGGAATATACCAATGGAATTACTGCTACTACCAGTTGACCTAGCAACTTGGAAGGGATAGGGCGAACTGGGCTTCAGCCAATTACAAAAAACCAATGAACAAAAAAAAAAAACCTCAATAGAACAACTCTCAGCAAATCTCACTAGCTCGATAATGCCTACCACACCAAAAGTACCAGTCAGTCAAAATCCATTAAAAACTCATACAGAATACTCATCCTTTCTGTTCAATTACTAGCATGTATTATTAAGGAAAGTAGATGTCAAATTCTAGGTCTTCTGTAAAGACACCATACAGTATACCAAAAATCAGCTGGTCTTTTGAATTACAAGTTATACAAACAACTTCTTGCAGTCTGTGGCAAATTAATAGAATTAGCAGTTGTGAAGCTGTTAGCTGGTGCTCTTGAATAATCCCCACATGACCAGATTTTTTATTTATTTAAAGTCATTGAGTAGCAACCTTTTGCTCTCTACTATCAAGAAGGGTGTCCTGCTTTGCTTGTCAACGAGGTTTGTGGACAGCTGGCCAGTGAAGCAACATTAAACAGCTCTTTAATCCATCCAGGGGAGGGCAGCATCACTTCAGTTTGCTCAGTAAAGCACATTCCCTGAAGGGGAATTGGCTCTTGTGCTGCTCTACAGAATCTAGTCTAAGTTTTCATTAGCTTTGAAAAAGCCCAAAAGGTTAATAATTCTGATTCTCGTTAATAATTCTGCTTCTCTGCTAATACATAGTATAATTCCTGAACCTGTATTAGAAAAACAGAGTTGCAGTTGCCTTACTAGAACTACAGTACTTCTTAAAAACATTAGACTAAAATCTGATTGTATGTCTAAGAGATTATGTAATTGAACACTTGTTTGCTCTTGCAAACACCTACATGGTCAGTAATTTTAATGCAAAACCTTCACCTCACTACTTCAGAGTCAACAAAACCAAGAGTGGTAACGTATCTTCTCTAGTACCGTATGTTGAAGCCAGCATCGTAACCAGAACAAAGACAACCAATCACTACTCACAATCCAAAAGAATACTTTGGGTAACTGTTATGGTTAAAAAAAGCCAAAGCCTTATAATCTACCAAAGCTTTGTTTTAACAGGAGTTTCAGTTGAAATCTGTAGTTCTTACTTGATACTTCAATTTTTAAATGCCTTCTGGGACAAGGCCATTCCTCTTTATCTGAGGCTTAAAGGGAGCAAAGCAGCTTCCTGTGGCCACCAATGTAGGGGACACACTGAGGTGCACACACAGGGAAAGGATCATCTTTTACACTTGTCAGGAAAACTACATTTTTGTGAATCAAGCAAGGCTCCACGTTGACAGATGAAAAAAGCAACGCCACGCTTCTCTTAAACTATAATGAGGCTGTGGAGGAGTTGGTCTCAGAAGCCTGAAACTGGTGACTTTGCAGCCTTCTTCTCAGTTTGAGAGAGCATTGTTTCATTGCTATTTGAAGTCTCAAGGAAAAATAGAACTGACTTTTGTTTTTAAAATTCAACAATTTTTCACATCTCAGACTGCATATGAGAAAAGATGCCCACAAATTAGTTGTCTTTCCTCAAAATCCTTTCTCCATGACATCACAAAAAATTCTTGACAATTGTGAGGGCACACTGTGATTACTGTCACTATTGCTAGCCAAAACTACCTAGTTTTCTTGTATTATGGAATTTCTCATGCACTGCTGTTTGCTGCTATTCTTATAACAGAGTCATTTTTAACCAAGCTTTAGACAGCAGTAACACATGTAGTAGTGATAACTTTTTGTTAGATTTTAGTTACCTTTTTAAGAGTATTATGGTCAATTACACAGAATCTGAAAGATACAAGTTGTCTGTAGTTCACTGAATATGGAGTAAACCTAGCTCTACTGTATTAAATTCCCCCTTAAGTTCAGTTTCCCCATGTGTGCTATGAAATCACCTCTTACCATGGTAAAGAAAAACATTGAAAGATTTTTTTCATATCTCAAAAATACTTCTACTTAGGAATTACCCTATTTGAAGAGGCCTTCTTTTGAATTTATACCAATTCATGCAGGTAAAATCCCAGTTGTTCAAATGAATTTCATTCCAAACAGCACCTAAGTCAGATATACTTTTGCTTATTTCTACAAAAGCCTATGTCAGTAAACCTGAAGTCTTAATATTGAAAAAACAAGGTCATGACGATGATATATACAGTATTTATCAGACATATTTCTGTCAGGTATTTTGGACATGTCATGTGTGACTTCTGATTGAAAAATGAACCTAAAGAGTTTGTCAACAGCACTGATATATCAGAATTATAAAAAAAACCAAAACCACAGGAAAACAAAAGCATCATCCTGCAAAGTCCCAACTGAGCAAGTGTAACTATTAACCCACCAGACAGGAAATCCCAGTCTGTCTCGTTTTTCTTTTTTGAGGGGCAGGTAGCAGGCTTGCTGCTGTCACTGTTTCTGCTGGCTTTGGCTATCACTAAAGGTACCTGGATTTCTGACTCCACGTTATCTGGTGCTATTGACTTTGTGTCATAATTGTATGCCATAAATAAAGGTGAGGTGCTACACACAAAGTAACAGAAATATCAGAGTACTTATCTCCAGAAGGGGTATGTAAGTTTTTACCCTATATTCGACCACATAATCCCCTTTAAAACACTGATGGAATGGGGGAGGGTTCTTTGTACCTTTATTGACTGCAAGACACTAGTCCCCTTCTCCGTTTCTATTTTGCAGTTATCACATTCTATTTTCTGAATCTTCACGCAGCCAGTCCCTGATGTTTTGATATCCAAATCTAGAATTAAAAGAGTTCTGTTAGCAATAGAATAAGAAGAGTCAGATCTATTTAACATAGTACTCGATCACTTTATGTAGTAACTACATACAGTAGGGGAAAAAAGCAGCTTCTTTGTTACTGAAGAACCTTCTTTCAAAGTTTGGCCACATACTTTCAATTGCATGACTAGTCACTATCAACAATTGGCATTGAAAATTTTGTCAGCCTGTGTATAGTCATCCAGCTTCAAGAGAAAGCACCAAGAGGCAGCAGATTGACTTAACCTCTGGCAAGGAATCAGCAGGGTGTGGTCCTTTAGTGAAGTTTTGTTTTGGTTTTTTTTTAACCCACTCCCAAACTCCACCTCACAGCTAGATTCTATTAGCAATTCTACTGACACATTTGGGTACCCTGACATGGGTTTTGGGATGGAAAGGTTGGTTGAGGCTACATATAGAGCAATAAGATTCAACAGCACAAATACTTAGGTCTTGCTTAAATCTATGCTGCTTCAACTAGCAAGCAATGCAGCACAAAAACCAGCGTAGAAGAGGTTGCACGCTCCCCCAGCCTCCTGGAAGGCCTGACTTGCCCCCCTGGCACAAAGAATCATGTTTGCCTCTAGTCTGAATCACCTCCCCTTATTACTGTTCATAGGCTCCCACAAAGAAAAATCACGAGGTCTTGTAGATAACTTATCAAGGGAGTAATTGATGGGCTCATAGTGCTTCGCACAGGAGCAGCAAAAGCATTTTTTTTTGCCACGTGAGCTCATTCCACTTCCAAGAAATACTGTGATCAAGATTTTAGTCAAACTATATGTTTCTTAAACTTAAGTAAACTCTAAGATAGGCTTTGAGGTATGTAAAAGGACAAAACCTGGCAAACTGTGTTGGTGACTATCATCAGAAGGTCAAGGGCCAGCACCACAAGGTTTTATGTTGATAAAGCCTAGACGGTTTCACCTGACTAAAATTGAGTGGTATCTGAGCTATTTTGGTTTGATCAATGCTGATGTACAGGTTCTGAAGTTGAAACAAACCTATTCCATAAGGTTTTACTTCTCAGGGAGCAGCTGGATTGTTCCAACACAATTCCCAGAGATACACAAATAGAGGCACTCTCCAAACATCTATGCTTGAAACAGTATGTCCCTGCAACAGCACAAACCCGGAGAGTTCAAAAAGAAAGCAGTATTATTTTTGAAATACAAGCTGTCTTGCTCAAAACTGCTCAATTCACCCACTTGAAAAGTGCACAGTCCTTGGAACAATCTACAACTGAGACTTTCGCTATTTTGCTTTCTGAGGAAAGATCCAAAAGCCAGTTTGCTTGTGCAAATCTTTGAATTCAATCAGCTTAATACCCTCTTGCCCTTATTCGCTTCTGTCAAAACAGGTGAGGAAAAGGCTTAAGGGGAGTCAGTTTAGCCATGATACCAACTGAAGATTTTTATAAGAATAAGGTTAAGAAAAACTGCTCATTGTACAGGGCATATTATGGCCATCATTTGAAATGTAGATTAGTAGTGTAATCCTAGTTCTATCAAAGATGAGTGCTGAAAGAGGATGCAGGAGTCTGGGGATTCATGAGCATGCTGTTAATGAAACACCAGGGACTCCTGGAAACATACTTCGTGCCTGTACTCTCCGCAGAGTCACAGCGCTTCACTAGCCTTGATGCAGTGAAAATTAGTAGGCAAGGAGCAGAGCTACTCTGACTCACAAATAGGCTTCCTGGAGCAAAGATAGATGACTCCACAAAGAGGCAGGCTAGAAGCTGGATAATATTGCTAACAAAATTCCAACAAGTGAGAAGGAACAGGACACAATCTGTTTCAGTGCCAAAGCTCCAAAAATAGCTAGTCTGATTTCTCCTTAGCAAAGATGAGGGCTGAAGCCAACTTCAGCCACATAAATCTTGAAGAATGCATGAAGATCTTTCAGGTGCAAAGGACTAGTATTGGTAATAAAGGTACATAGGAAAAAAATAACTTTGATATCATAACGTAGGCAGGGATACCCCAGAAATACCTTAAGCTATAATATTTGAAATAGCCTGGAAAATTATTTCTTTTAAAGTGACTTAGCAGCCCTGGACTAGGAGAAGTATTTCATGGTGATCTACTACTCTGCTCATAGAAGCAGCTTACCAGTAAGTGAACATGCACATAAAATAATCCACTCCAGGAAGAACTATTTATTGAGGACATCAGATTATAGTATTTGGTCCTCTCAGGCTGTAAGTCTACCATACTTAGAAGTAGACACTGATGATCTTTTTTCCAACTCATCAATACATTCAGACTTCAGAAAAATACACTGTTGAAAACATTTACATTCGCTTTCCACTAAATCTAACAAAAAACAAAAAGCAGACACAAACAGTCCCAGGAGCTTATTCTCTCCCCTCATGTAAGTAGGCAGAAAAAATTGTTTAAATGATACCATAAAACAATGATTTTGGTAATTCACAGGAACATTCAAGACCCATACATTCATTCAGTTTGCTTAGTTATTTCCACAAGAATACAATATTTAGCCAAAAAGCTAAGTGATCTCATGGACTTAAGTAAGACTAATGTGGAAGAGTAAAGTTTTCCCAAGGAGAGAACAAATAAAAAAAATAAACAAAAATTAAAAACCCCATACTGGTTTACAAATAGGCCTAGACTAGGAGCACTTAATCCTGTGCCAGAGGGGACAGAGCTTTTGTATTCTAATTCATGAAGCTTGGCCATCATTTCAACACTGATGGTTCTCCTCCTTGACATTGGCATAGAAGCCTCTGTTCTCTTCACCAAGGCGATATGGAAAAAGCATTGGAACAGTTTGCCAAAGGTGATTGTGTAGTCTTCATTCTTGGACATTTTCAAAACCAGACTGGATAAAGCCCTGAGCAGCCTCCTCAGACCTTGGAGTTGACCCTGCTTTGATCAGGAGGCTGAACTAGAAACCTTCTGAGGTCCCCTCAAACCCAAATTACCCTATGATTCTAATATAATATGTTTGTACTAAAGCAAAACATAAGAACCACACCGTAAGACAGGACAGATGAGTCTCAAATTCTGGTTATGCAAGACCTCACTTGGGTTTACCTCTGACTACTGTGCTGGTTTTGGCTGGGATAGAGTTAATTTTCTTCATAGTAGCTACTATGCGGCTATGGTTTGGATTTGTGCTAGAAACAGTGTTGATACCACAGGGATGTTTTCGTTAGTGCTGAGCAGGGCTGACACAGAGTCAAGGCCCTTTCTGCTCCTGGCTCAGGCCCATGAGTGAGGAGGCTGGCGGGGCACAAGGAGCTGGGAGGGGGCACAGCCAGGACAGCTGACCCCAACTGACCAAAGGGGTATCCCACACCATACAACATCATGCTCAGCTTATACAGCTGGGGGAAGAAAGAGGAGCAGGGGGCGTTCGGAGTGATGGCGTTTGTCTTCCCAAGTCACCATTATGCGTGATGGAGCCCTGCTTTCCTGGAGATGGCTGAACCCCTGCCTGCCCCTGGGAAGCAGGGAATGAATTCCTTGTTTTGCTTCATTTTAGTTATTGGCTTTTGCTTTACTTATTAAGCTATCTATCTCAACCCAGGAGTTCTCATTTTTACTCTTCTGATTCTCTCCCCCATCCCACCATAGGAAGGGAGTGAGCAAGCAGCTGAGTGGGGCTGAGCTGCTGGCTGGGATTAAATCACAAGACTACTCAGTCAATGTACAGTAACCAGAAATCAAAGAGCTGGTTTCAGGTTTAATTAGCACATGCAGTTCAACATGCCAAGAACATGGGATTCTGTGTGCTGAGCAGACTCCGAACCTACAGCCATGTGCCTACATTGTCCCTGGAATAAATAGCTAACATATACATGTGACCTGAAGGTAAATAGATGAACTAAAGAGAAATTCATTGACATCTATAACCTGTGAAGGTTAAACATTATCAGATAGGATTATCAGATTGTGTATGACAGAAAGACTGTACATAGCATAAAACTGGACACTAAGACAGAAATAGGGGATCCTTTAGTAGTACTTGCCCTGGGCCCTTGTACTGGGCTGCTTACAAGTTGCCCTTGGTATAAAATGCATACTTAAGCTCATCATCTAGCATCCTCTGGACATACTCTTCAGGGTCTAAGGAGTTTTAGCTAACTTAGAGCTTCCTGGATAAGGTCCAACCTAAATTGTGAAAGCTGTTATGAAATGCCACGACTTCCAAAACCAAGAAAGAAGCTAGAATACTGTAAAGACATTCACATCAACTTCTCAACTTCTTACAGCTAAGTGACAGAAAGAGAGCTCAGGTTAAATGGTCTAAAAAGAAAAGAGTTAACATCCCCCCCTCACACATTCAAGGAAGGTCACAGAAAAGCCAAAGTGCTTTCAGAGCAACAACAGCTTCTTCCTGGTTTGAGATGTGTTTTTACAAGGGATGAGATCTTTTGCTGATGTAATTATGGTTAATGGATAATTCTTTCTTAAATAAAGAAAAGGAACAACCCAAGCACAAACCACTACTCAGAGAACCCAAAAACCAAACCAGAGCTGAAAGAACATTTGAAGTAGAACCTCCCTGGCAAGTAGCAATTCTACTTCACTGAGTATAAAAAAATACTTACGTTTTAGGAAATGTATCTCTGGATATGCCTGGGTAATGGCATGAACAGGCAATACTAACATCATGCTAATTATGGGGTGACAAACAGCAACTAGTGAAAAGGGATTATAATCCACAGACTGTCCAGGGAACCTGAACTGTACAAGCTTACCACAAACCCAAGTGGAACAGCTTAGAAACCTACAAACTAATACAACCTATTTCAAGAAGGAAGACAGACAGTCTGCAGGGTTGGTTGACATTCAGAATATAGTAAGAATCTCAAAGACAGGACAAAAGCTAAAGAATTTTTTTCCATCAATCAGGAGTCATTATTGAGACCTTTAGGAAGGGTTCCCTGCACTGAAACTCTTTATGAAGGCTGAGATTCTCCCGACCTTAATACAATGAATTCTAGCCCCTGAGAATAACCAAGTCTGGAGTAACACGTAATAGCCACTTAGAGATCCTGGAGAAACTGAAATACTAAATTACTAACAGCTACAGTAGTCAGCCACACCTGGTGCCAGAGAAATTAAGGGTAATAAATGGGCCGCTAGCCTTCAGTTTGATAG